ACTCCGGTATGATATGTCCATCCTTTTTCTGCTGTGTGAACAGCAGTCTCCATGGTTAGCAGCACAAGGTACGCTCCTTCCCAGGCTGGCTCGAGTTTTTCTTCTTTCTATCCTTTGATGAGGACGTGCTCCCCAGGCTGCTGCTTGTGTACTGGAAATTCTAGGGGTGGTACCTGTGCTAAAAGATTTTTAGTTTGGAGAGAAGGGAAAGTGGAAGATAAACTAAGTATATAATTTCTGAGAAACTGATCTTTTGTTTTAAATGTGGGGGCATCAGCAGTGGAATGTAAGGTATCTTTTTTACTTTACAGTCCCTACTGCCTTTTTGCTAAGAAATTTCTTTTTCCTTATTTTCACTTATGTTGTTTCTGAGGGACCCTTTGGGGCTCCTTATTTTGTCAGAACTCTGCATATCCTGGGGCGTGAGGCACCAGCATGACACTTCCCGCTCCATTCCAGCTCAGCACTGCCTAGGGCACGCTGCAGCTCCACCCCCTCTTAAGGTCTTGGCCTCCCTGTGGCCCTCACCGCTTCCACGCATTGGAGCCTTGGGTATGAGGGGCCTTGTGATTCACCCGACCACCCCGGACCTTGCTCCTGCCCGAGCCCCTGTCATCTGGCCCCTGGCCTTGGGTTGGGCTGGGCTGGCTAATGGCTGCAGCGGCCCCCTCCCCTGCACAGCAAATATCTGTCTGTGGTTAGGTCCTCCAGCCAGCTCACACCACAGCCTCTCTAGGAGCTGCTGGAGGTGGAAACTCGTTGGCATTAAGCCTGAGCTTAGAGGGGCCCGGCCTAGGTTCTTTGATGCAGTTTTAACAAGATTTTTTTTTTTAATAAGGTGTTCAGATAATATTTCTTTTTGGTTTAGTAATATTCCTTTTCCTTTTGAAATTTTTAGCACCTTTTTATAACCTTTTAATGTAGGTAAAAATACATATTCTTATGCCTCCTTATTTTACTACAAGTATATTTTACTTTCCCTACGTACTCTGCACATAAACTGTTTAATTTTACATTCAAGATGCCTAAATACTTTTAAACTGTACAATATTTCTTGCATAAATTCTTTTATAACTTTTTTGCAACTTTCACAATCACTGACATGCCTCAACTTTTTGACTACCTTTTGCCCTATTTCTCTCCCCAGTCTTACCTTCTGTGTCTTTCTCTGATCTCTGTCTCTTTCAAGTCTTTCACTTATTCTCTCCCTCTCTCTCTCTCTCATTTGGGCTCTTTTTCTGTCATCCCGTTTCCTCTTTCTCTTACACTTAGTCTTCTGCGCTGGGTGGGATCTGCGTGGCCACAGTCCGGGCCCTGGCCACCACCAGCCCAGAAGCTCGGGAGGTGCCTGCCCCAAGTTGCATGAGTCATGCCCCTTCGCCTCCTTTGTTCTCCTCCTGGGGGCCGATCCCCACCCTCTTCTTCCACGCAGAGCCAGGCTGGAGAGAGGGACCCACCCTCTGGCGCGCCTAGCTGCCTGGCTGCGTGGCACAGGCTCCTGGCCCCAATGCCCTCATACTCCCCCACTCGGCTCCAACTTGCAGGCGTCCATGGCCAGCCGGCCTCCGAGGGTGGTGAGACACACCCGAGCAGCGAGCAGCGCACAAGGCGTGGGGCTCAGGGACCGGCAGGCTGGGTGGCTCTGGCTGTGCGGAAGAGAGTGTCCCAGCCACCGCTGCTCTGCCAGGTGCCGGCGATCTGCAACAATGTGGAGCCATACTCACCGCTCTCACTTTCTCTCTGACTTCCTTTCCTAGTTTCTCTTTCCTCTCTGCTGGTCCTTCCCTTGCCTCTTTCTTCTCCCAAGAAGAGGGGAAAGGGAAGTTATGAACATTTTTCCTATGACCAGAAGTTTGTGTGAGGTTCAATCTCCCCCAACGGGGATTTTTCACCTCTTTTTAACCTCCAAGACACCTCGACTAAGGAATACTTCACCCCCCAGGCCTCCCTGTGGCTTTTCTTTCCTTAGTCCTGACTATGGAATGCTTTACCTTGATATGTACCAACCAAAGAGCGCTTCACCGCCCCGTGGCTTCTTTTTCCTTAGTCCTGACCACCAAGGAAATATTTTACTGGCTCCCATGGCGTTTCCTTCCTTGGTCTGTGCAGAGTTGCCTGGTCCACATGGTATGTGAGGATCTTTTACTCCAGGTCACCAGCGGTTTCTTTCCGCATTGCTGAGACTCCAGTTTATTTGTCACACCTGGTGGGTCTCGATTCCTTAGCTGGAGGCCTCAGTAACAAGGCAGTGGGGCACCTTCCTCGTGAGAGAGGACCAGAGACCACCACCCGCCCCCCACCCCCGCCCCGCCCCCGGAGGAGAATGGCTCCCCATATAGGCCACCACCATTGCTATAAGTAAAATGTTTATTTAGAAACAGAATGCTTGCTCCTCAGTACTGCAAGGAAAAATCAGCATTTAGATTACAAGTTTTTTCAGCAAGGCAATTTTACTTTCTGCAGAAAGGGTGCTCCTCACAGATGAAACAATGGTGACTGCACACCCGAACAAAGGAGGGAAGCAGTTTTTATTCCTTATGCAGCTTGTCCCTGCTACTGTGTCCTGTCTCCATTGGCTGGAGCTGGACCTCACAATTTAAATTAAAACCAACTGGCTAATAACTTAAAACTTTCCTAAATAGGGAAAGGCAATAGAGAACAAAGGAAAAGAGGAAATTGCTTGTGAAAGGACTTAGAAAAGTAGTAATATTTCCAAATAAGGAAGGGGCATAGGCTGCGAGCTGGAACGTGCCTGAGAGCATGTCCAGCACAAATATCTTGGTTAAAGTACAAGGACATAGAATATACTTATTCCCTTATATCTAACAGCTACATAGGACAGGGCTTAACAAAGAGTTTTAAGGAGAGGAGGCTTGAAGGAAGTTAGTCTTTAAAAGAAACTATTATTTCTCACTTAACATTTATTCTTTAACAAGAAAGGAAATTTCGAAAAGGAAACTTTTTACTTTCTACAGGCTGATGAGTGCAGTTAATCCTCATTGTTATGAGCATCACTATTATCATCACTTGCAAGAGCCATGTGACAATATTTAGATGATTCTGGGTTCTTTTAAAGTACATACATACCCAGGATTCCTTTGGGAGGATGCAATTTCACATTTATATGAAAAACTGTCACTACCATACTCAGCTCTAATAATATTTGATATCACTTGGTAATAAAGGTTTGTCGGCTAGGCACAGTGGCTCACGCAGCACTTTGGGAGGCCAAGGCAGGCAGATCACGAGGTCTGGAGTTCAAGACCAGCCTGGCCAGTATGGTGAAACCCCATATCTACTAAAAATACAAAAATTATCCGGGCATGGTAGTGGGCATGCTACTTGGGAGGCTGGGGCAGAAGAATTGCTTGAACCCAGGAGGCAGAGGTTGCAGTGAGCTGAGATCATGCCACTGCACTCCAGCCTGGGTAACAGAGCCAGACTCTGTCTCAAAAAAAAAGGTAAATAAAAAATAAAGGTTTGTCATCACATACTCAAAAGTACTTCTGTTATTCAAATCTTCCTAACTGGGAGTTAGAACTATCTCTGATTCTGTTCTTGTAGTTGTCAGAGCATAAAATGCCCTTCCCACTCTTTCCTCATTTCCAGACTCCAAAGCCATCTCCTCCTCAAAGTTTGGCCCATCTACTTTGGACTACTGTTTTCTTACTGAGCACTGACAGTACCTTTTGTTCTCTCTCTCTTTTGGTAATATCTCTCTTTTGGTAATTCACTATACACTTTCTAGTTTATTTAACTGCATAAAACTTAGTTCTCCACAAGACTATAACTGCCTTATGAACAGAGATCAACACCTGAGAATCTTCAGAGTCTCCTACTACATCATGTAAGAGCTCACTAAATGTTTGATTTAAATAACTAGGCTTAAGAATAATATATTGGCCGGGCGCGGTGGTTCAAGCCTGTAATCCCAGCACTTTGGGAGGCCGAGGCGGGAGGATCACGAGGTCAGGAGATCAAGAACATCCTGGCTAACATGGTGAAACCCCATCTCT